TTCTATTTTATCCCTTGGACTATTCATTTAACACAAGCATGAGAAAGGAAAACCTTTATTTCCTCAGTCAACATTTGAGCCCAGAAACAATATTCAGCTTCATAGTAATTATTACTATTCTTTATTATGTTAGATGACTATGTTTCTTAGACCTGAAGGTACTTCGGTACAATTTTTAATTAATGCTTTATTTATAAATCAAATTAGGGGGATATTGGCGAAACTTACCCAGGGTATAAATAGGTTCTGGTCATAAGGCTGATGCCTAAAAACATAGACAACCATCCAGCTGCACGTAGGCCCCAGGTTTTCATGCTGTTACTCTCATGTTCTTTCTGAAATACTTCCTAAAAATATTTGATATTTAATTAGCACTTCCAGTCAAATACTTGGTATTTTATCACCATCCAAATTATGCTCATTCTTTTGATCAGCAGGATACACGATGCAACTGGACACAATGCCACGGCTTAATCTAACATTACTGGCCAGAACCTATTCCTTGCCCCTCCATAATCTATCATATTCTAGGAGGAATGCTGGTTTCAAATGTATTTGAACAACCCTAGGCTACATTTGAAATTATTTTGACAAACCATGTTTAAAACTATCTAATTTGATTAGTTGAAAACAAAAGAAATATTGTCAACTTTGTTGTCATCAGAGAATTTATGATGATTCTTCAACTGCAGCTGAACTTCAGGTCAATATTTTTAAGACAGTATAAAATGGATGGAAGAATGAGGTACAGGCAAAATCAGTTTATGAGTAGGTAGAATTTTAAGAAAAACAGATTTTAGTTAGAACATACTAATTTTCCTCTTGTTCCGCCCTGCAAGCAATCCCTGATAAGCTCTGCAAGGCCCATGTGCCATTCTTGACATGTAAAACATTATATATTCATGCCTTTTCATTGTCTACAAGCATTACTTTTCTTTGGCAGAAACTGAAAACACTTTTTAATCCATCAAAAGTATCTACGCTACTAAATGAGAAAGCAAGGTTTTGCGTTCATTTTTTTGAACTGGAGAAATGAAACACCTACACTATACTAAGAAAAGTTACCTTTATAGGAAGTTATCCCACACCGATCCACTTACTTAAACTCAAGTTTTGCCTACTAGGGTTGCCAATTTAAGTTAGCCATTTAGGTTTTCAGATAAGAGTCTCACCATCAAGAGCTATATTGGTCAGAAACTGAATCAGAGTTGTTTTATTTGCAATGAAGAGCTTCACCTTTGAGATGCAGAAGTGATAATTGAAGAGGAGGGGGGGGGAGAATTGTTCTCCTTTATTTAAGCAAACAGGACATGTATAACTCTTCCCTACTATTCTCCCTCTACCGATTTGGAACCCTTACCTCAGCTGTGAGCTCTCCAGGATAGAGAACATTTAAGACATCCCCAGATTTGGTTTGGTATGGAACCAAGTGATCGCCTTGCTGACGAGCAATTATGGTCACCTGAAAAGGAGCCAAAGTGAGAAATTGAAGAAATTTGCACAGCAACATTGGAGAGCTTTATCTAATTACATGAGAAGGTCTTGAGGAGATATGGAACATTTACCATATCTGGTAGAGTCATGCGCGAAAAGTCTTCACTCAAACCTGCATAGAAGAATGAAACACGAAGATCCCCGACCTGAAAAGAGGGGGAAAAACAACAATACAAAAGTGTTGGGACAACAAAAGATTCCCAATTGAAATTTTAGATCCAAGATTCGCGGATTATCTGAGCTCAGCTCAAGTAAAAAAGTGACTGGGGCAGAGGGAAACAATTGTTTATTGTTTATTTTCCTCTTCCATTTCTTACTTCTGGACGTCGTGGATTCTCACTATGAAAGAAGTAATCCCCTGAGCGGATCACATCTGCGTGAGGGTCTTCCAATTTTGACAGGCTCATCTGCTTGAAATTATTAATCTTCTCAATGAGGCCTAAAAGTAGAAGTGGGAATAAGAAATCATTTTTGTTTGAGACTTATAGTCATTTCGGAAACTTCAGTGAAGCCATGTTCTTTCAGAGGTAGGGGCCATAGCATAAAATGGGCATGGCCAGAGCTTGGAGCAAATAGGGCCATCCTTCATGGTTTCATGCAAGAAATCTCATTCTATTCCATCTAACAAACTTTCCAAGTTCTTCCTATGAAGAAAATGGGCACCAAGAAGGAATACGATAGCACTCCAAACACACAAATGAATGCCACATATAAAGTTAAGAACGTATTTCTATCATCCGACAGCATCAGATGTGGACTAACTGTCTTAAATTACACAACGACAGATTCTTGGTTAATGTAGTTCAATTGCAGAAACAACCACCCAGATATATAGTGGATTTCCCTTCACTGAATGTGTTCTTGCACAGCCCTAAAAGTTCATTTGTCAGAGATGCTTGATCCCGATTCCTGCACTGAGCAGAAGTTCAACTCAACAGCTTAAAATTAGCTTTTAATTCTATGATTCCTTAACTCTCCTGTCTCACCATGCAAAATTAAAAGGGAAAAAGCAGGCATGGTGGTAGGGATCAGCATACCTGACCATAAGAACTTACAAGCAGACTTAGCTAACTTTTAGATAAGAATGCCAAATATCTTATGCACAGAATAACTATATTATAGTACTTATTCCAAAGATCAATGAGATGTTTTGATATTGTCTCATTATCTGCTCCATAAAATTTAAACCATGGGAAAATGGAAAGCTATGATTTAAATTAAAATGTATTTAGTTACTCTTCCAAATGTTACAAAGTGGAGATGATTTTCTCATTATCTGCCTTGTTAAATATATATTAGCATGCATATATCTAGACATATCTCAGATACAAGCTTCATACCTCTGGAAAGGAAGAACTTGCCAACTTGAACATCAGAAGCAACTGCAGTGAAAGATTCAACAGCCATGGCACTGCATAGACAAAAAGAATAATCAGNATTTCTTCATGTCTTTATTAATTTCTTATTATTCTGGGAATAAAGGAAAATTTCAGGTGTGCCCACCCCAATATATGCATTTAAGTTTATTTTAAAATGAGATAACCACAGTTCATGGAGTAGGCCAGACTATCTATGGTTTGTAAGTCGGATAAGATTGTACTTAGTCATTTCTTCAAATGGTAAACATTATCAAATCCTTGATTTATGACTATAGTGTTTCTAGTGCTTATGATTAAGAGAGAGAAAGAACTAAGAGGGTGTCCAGTTTTGTAGGCCTTTATCATCAAGGATGGTGATGGTGGAACTTTGTTACACAGACTCCCTATGCCAGTGAAAGAAATGGCACCATCCACAGATCTGGCATCTCCACCGATGCATTGGAATTCATGTTGGGTTGTAAGAAGTGAATAGCCAATATAAGAGCAACAAAGATGATTAGGGGACTGGAGGCTAAAACATATAAAGAACGGCTGCAGGAACTGGGTGTATCTAGTTTCATGAAAAGAAAGACTAGGGGTGACATGATAGCAGTGCCAATATCTCAAGGGTTGCCACAAATAAGAGGGAGTCAGGCTATTCTCCAAGCCACTTGAGGGTAGAATAAGAAGCAAAGGGTGGAAACTAATCAAGGAAAGAAGCAACTTAGAACTGAGGAGAGACATTTCCTGTCAGTTAGAACAATTAATCAGTGGAACAACTTGCCTCCAGAAGTTGAATTCTCCAACACTGGAAGTTTGTAGGAAGATGTTGGATAACCATTTGTCTGAAGCAGACAAATGTTCTAAAGCAGGGTTTCCTTCTAAGCAGGGGGTTGGACTAGAAGATCTCCAAGGTCCCTTCCAATTCTGTTATTCTGTTCCATTCTAATCTAAGAGCAGGTCATTTTTTAAAGTCAACAACTTGAATTTTAATTCAGTACAGCTATCCATATTTTTTTTTGTTCTGCTTTTGCCTCTCAAAATCTTTCTCTCTCCTTCATATTTGTTTCAGGGAAAATCCTCCAAGAAAAGCTCTCTTTTGGTAGCTTCTGGGACATTGCCCAATTCTGCCAAAAGCTCAAGACAATGCACAAAAGCAGATACTGCTAAGAAGACAAGCCTCTCCAGGGCCAAAAGGCTGAGAAAGAAATCTTCAGCACAGGAAGATATTCAGAAAAATATAAAATCTGAGAATGATGAGAGGAGCTTGAGAGCGGAACAAGGGCTAGGAAGGCCTAAAAATGACCGACGACGGCAAGTGGCATCTAAAGTGTCCTATAAAGAAGAAAGTGGAGACAGTGAGGATAATGATTCTGAATTCTGTCCTACAGAGGAAAATGATGATGGCAGCATATCTGATGAGGATTTTGAAATTCCCCCCAAAAAACTGAAGTCACCACTAGGAACCCCTAAAACAACACCAGGAACCCTGAAAGCAAAAGCAGTTGTCAACAGGCAACAATCCGTGCCTTCTGTCTCAAAAAGAGACAAGGACTCAGAGATAATTGGTAGTTTGGTAGACAAAACAGTCAGTCCATGTTCTTCAAATTCATCCAAGAAGAAAAACAAAATAATTTCTAGTGATGAAGAAAAAGAGCAGAGGTCAGTTGTATCCAGAGGCACGGACTATTGGGTAGAGGTTTTTCTTGAACGAGAAGACCGGTGGATATGTGTGGATTGCATGCATGGCAATGTTGGACACCCTCTGGAATGTTTCAAGTACGCCTCAAAGCCAGTGTCTTACATCATTGGCATTGACAACAGTGGATTTGTAAAAGATGTAACACAGAGATACGACCCAGCATGGATGACTGCAACGAGGAAGTGTCGTGTGGATGCCCAGTGGTGGGAGGATACCTTGGAGCCATACAAAAGTTCTTTTGTGGAACGAGATGCTAAAGAAGAAAGAGAGGTAAATAAAATGGAACAGGAGGCTTTTTTTCCCAGTAATCAAAATTACACCCAGAAGGACTCAAATATTCTTTATCTTTTTCTAATAGGTTTAGATCCTTAGGTTGCAAAAACATGGAGCTCTCTCCTTTTATCTTGGTCTGCTTTTCATCTAAGATCTTAACTAATCTGTTCCTCTTGGTTTATCCACTAGCTCAGATGTTGTGTGCTTTTATTTAGTTTCTGTTCAAGTCAGTTCTTGGCTGAATGATAGCAGAGCTTGTGCACATATTTAGGGAGACCAGTCTATAGTTTGAAACCACATAGAAAAAGGTATATCCATACTTGGGCAAGTTCATACCAGAAATAGTTTTAGCTGACTTGGCCTCTCATACTTGTTTGAACCAAAACTCCTTACTGTACTTTCCAGAATAATCAACACAGTGAAAATCCCTTCCGGGAAAAGTAGGGTTGCCATGATGCTTAGACAATATCTATAATACTGGTAGTTATTTAAATGCAAAGCAAGGTTAATATACCAGGACTCAATATTTTGTCTAGTCTTCCAAAAGTTGAATAATATATGTGTAATTGGTTGCCTCTATATTCTACTGGTAATAACATGATTCCCAGTTTGTAGCTAAACTTCAAGATCAGCCTTTGCCACAATCCATCAGTGAATACAAGAATCATCCGCTTTATGCCTTGAAGAGGCATCTCCTTAAGTATGAGGCCATATATCCTGAGACAGCTGCAATTCTAGGATATTGCCGAGGGGAGGCTGTCTACTCCAGGTGAGATATTTCTCAGGTGTGTATGCCATGAAAGAAGGCTTCATCTGGTACACTGGTCTGGGATCATCACAGTGTCCCACTAGCAATACCTTACTGCTACTTATTTTGAACATTTAAACAAGGATCCATATTTGCACTCTCCCACAAATGAATGTTACTCATCTATCAAGGTACTTAGAGTTGACTTCTCTAACTTGGCAAGGGATGCTTATTCCCAAACTTGACTGAACTTCAAGTGTGCAGTTCAGCCGTGGCACGACAAAACCGCGCTCGACTAAAGTGCGCCCGATTAAACTGCGTCGCTGACGTCATCAACAGGGCGACAACAGCGAGCGCCGAGAAAGAAGGGTGCTTTAAATAGCGCTTTGAAAGCAAGCCGATTCAAGTTAAGGTAAGGGTTAGGTTTAGGGTTACCTTTAGGGTTAGGGTTAGGTTAAGGGTTAGGG